AGCTTTTTGGGGGTTGTGCCACACCCCATTGACATCCTTCAAACCATGCAAATATACGCGTTTTCTAATCGTTGCTATAGCCTAACCATCTTCTTTACACAGTCAGAAAAACATTTAGAATCGTTTCTTCTAGGAAAAGATGTATTCCCTTACTTATGCAAATGGAAAATGCTACGAAATTATGGGTTACGGTAACATGCCTAGTCTGCGCCACTATGTAAATCGCCAAAGGCGACAAGAACAAACATATTTGATAGACTAAGCCTCAAAATTCACATCAAAGTGATTTGAGCCTGACTGATCCTTTCTAATCTGAGTTATTGAGAGCGAAAAATGGAACAAATGAGATTTTGGCTTGCTTAGTTCCATAGTTTGGATGTTATTCGAAGTGGGATTCTTATTGTAGGCAAAGACGTAGTAGTTCATTATATTAAGTGCAGAAAGAAGTAGTTAACTCACCTTTGGAACGAAGGTAACATGTTTGAAGATGACTACCTCACTTGGATGGTGTGCCGACATTGTCGGCACCTTCTAACAAGCGTATCTTTACTGTTACCAAAGCACCTTACAGGTCATGCCATAAACATGACTTGCTGTGATGATCTGTTATGTTACTTTATCACACCTATTATCCTCAGCATTTTACCATTGCACGAATGGGTGTATGTCGTCCGTTCAATAAAGCTCTAATAGCTTACGTGTTCTAATAACACGCAAGGAGCCACCATACTCTATACAGGCGCCACCCATCGCCTAAGATTACAATGAGGCCTTGAACCACCGGTATATTTTGGTGCATCGGCCAAATACGAAGGCCGACTCCGTGCTTGCTTCAACAACAGCACATAGGGAATCAACGCATAATGAAGCTGTTTCCCAGCCTCTACAAACAAATCAGAAGGCAGACCAAGAACCTCACGGAAGTACCGCAAGAGTACGCCTACAGCGGTGAGAAGACAATACTTCCAGATGACGACGAACTACTGCGAAGGATATGCGTCTACAATCTGCGCCAATATGCGCGAATTATCAGGGAAGTTGGTATCGCCGCACAGTCACTACAAATGAGGACTGATGTGCTAGAGAAACTTTACCAAAGCGAGGAATCCATCGCCGTAAGGAAAGTGATGACAGTGGAAATGCAGGAGCTCGATAAAGAGACAAGATTTTATGAAGCCATTGATGATACTAAAATGTTTGTTTGCGATGTGCAACTCCGCATGACAGAATTTGAGGCAGAATTGGAAAGCATGGAACATAGGAAGAAATCCGCCTCGATAAGGCATGAAGATATTAGGTTGGCCCGAATGTTCTTTCGCACCAAATTCAGAAATTCATAACTTCTGACTTATCTAACCAATTTGATTGCTTTCATTTTTTATGAAAGAGAAAGCCATGCTCTTTATAACAACATCTTTGCTGCTTACCAGTGATCATCTACTGCATAGATAGGAGCGATAGAAGAAAATTGGTCAAAATTCGAATTTTCTGTATAGGGTCATAAAAATCGGAACTTGCAACAAAAATCGGAGCAGTCGGTATTATAGGTATTTTCACCAGCTCTTCCTAGCTGTGCAAAGTTTGCGCTGATTGAGCGTCTTTATAAAAAGTTATGATTTCCCTGAAAAATGCTAAAATAAATCGAATTCGCTCTTTTATAGAGACGCTCAATCTGCGCAAACTTTGCACTGTTAGAAAGAGCTGGTGAGAATACCTATAATACTCCTGACTACTCCGATTTTTGTTGCAAGTCCGATTTTTTATGACTCTACACAGAAAATGCAAATTTTGACCAATTTTCTTCTATCGCTCCTATCTATGCAACACATGATATTAGTAAGCAGCTAAGATGTCATTATGAAGAGCATGACTTACTATCTTATATATAAAGCTGAATGTCTGTCTGTCTGTATGTCTGTCTGTACGTATGTGCGGAATAGAAATTTTTATTTCTGAACCGATCGGGACCAAACTTGGCACACATATACTTCGGGGCAAGGAGCGTGTCATAGGCTACTTTTCGTTGTCGATCGATATCGATTTTATCGATTTTTTGCAAAATTTGAGCTACGGGGCTGGGAGTTGGCACAGGGGGGTAATCGAGCATGCTGATTACAGATATGTTATTGACAGGGCCGGGCGGAGCCGGGTTTGCCAGCTAGTTTCATATAAAAATAAAAGCAGTCAAACCGCTTGGAAAAATCAGAAGTTATGAATTTTTGAATTTGGTGCGAAAGAACTTTCGGGCCAACCTAATAGCAATGAGCATTCCCTGCGTGAAAGCCACTCCAAAAAAAATTCAGCAAGATCAATCGATCGTATCTCAACCAGCCCAAAAATGAACGAGAAAATCTCGACAGCTTATAATCAGGACGAAAGTGAAGAGCCAAGAAAACAAAATTTCAACGACTGCAGAGTCTCAGCGTGTGGAAATGAGGATAATGATGACGAAGGCAGTAAGATTAGTAGTAGTCACTGCAAGTCTCAGTATAGAGACAAAATTGATGACAACGAATCAGCTACTCTGATTGCGACCTTGACCTTGGCACAGGCCAAGACATCTGCATCCGCAAGGAAGCACGTGCAGTAATTCCAGTAAAAAATGTGCTTCGGAGATTGCAAGTTGTCTACAGAAGAGTCATCAGATACAGAACCCTTGCATCCTTCCCGTTGCACGCTCAATGTCGTTTGCTGGAATTGCTCTTCCGAAGAAATGCAATAGCAACCTTTATTAATTACAGCCATCTACCTCTCCTTACCATCGCAGGTACAACAACGATCATGTTGAGAGCTTTGTCTTCATCTATGCGCACTACTACGACGACCAGTGCGATATCCCGAAAAAGAAAGTACTTCGATACTAGATGTTGCATTTGTGTTCCATTTCGTTGCCCTCTTTTCTCCCGATGCCCGGAGTGTGCCGACATTGTCGGCACTTCCTAACAACCGTATCTTTACTGTTACCGAAGCACCTTACAGGTCATGCCATAAACATGACTTGCTGTGATAGTCTGTTATGCTACTTTATCACGCCTATTATCCTCAGCATTCTACCACTGCACGAATGGGTGTATTTCGTCTGTTCAGTAAAGCTCTGATAGCATACGTGTTCTAATAACACAAAGGGCCACCATCCTCCACAGGCGCCACCCATCCGCCTAAGGCTACAATAAAGCTTGAACCACCGGTATAGATGGCCCAATATTTGAAAACTTCAGAATTCGCTGGAACTTGGCCCACAGGTTACTTGATATTTTAGTCACGAAAATGATATTCTTATGCTTATAGTGCTCTTTTATTACGCTGTACGTATACGATGGTAGGCCAAAACATTGTGCTAGTCTTTACACAGCGCCTATCTGACATTGTTAACGAATATCATGTTATCGCTAACGTCAGTTCACCTCGACAACGACCCCCCTCCCTGATCCCTCAATACGGCCCCCCCCCAGGTGTGACATCACACCCCACGCTTGACCATTCATTACTCTTAGTCATGTCATGACGATTAGATTGATATATAATGTTGCAAGGTTTCGTTAAAGCCGTGCGGAGATCTGGACCAGCCAAATGCCCCGTCGGCTCTGGTCTTTCTCCTCTGCTCATCTGCGTCTTCACGCGTTGCGCGCTACCTCGCTACCTCAAGCGCGGGGCACGGAAATTTGACTCTGTTACCCTTTTCTTTGTTGTTATGAACCCAATTCTAGCAAGATGTATATCATATTGAAGCTCTTTATCTCTATTTTCACGCTGGCAACGTCGCAAGCCATATTTTTTGATTTGAATAAGAAAGTTGGAAAAGACCATGCTTTCAAAAAGTTCTTGTTCTGTCTTCAGTTTGTTTCTTTTTTCTTTTTTTCATGCATCTAACAGATTTTGTCTCTATAATGCAAACAACGTCGCGGAGATTATTTCTTTGATGGTGGTATACTATGAAAAAAAGCTTCAAAAAGTGCGTTTTTGTTCATACTTCTTTTCTGGAGTTATAAGCAACCCTTCCTCTCACGCTTAAGGGCGTCTTGCTCAAAAGTATGAGCAGAATAAAGCTGATAACGACGCCAGAAACAGAAACTACGAGAAGAAAGTAAAAATGCAAAGGACGCATCAAACACCAGATAGGCTTTGACGTGCATTTCGACTTAGTAAAAAAAAACTTTGCGTTTTCATCACCAATTCTTCTCTTGTTTATCTTCTTTGTGATGATCACCACTTCACATGGTTGTTTTTGAAACAATCACATAGAAGAAATTGGCTTTTTCCCTCCCCCCCCCCCACACCCCTCCCCGTGTTGTCGATGACCTGGTCTGGGAGCGAAGACCTGCACTTCAAAATGCCGCCAAACGAAAGATTTCAAACTCTTGCATCGTTTTTATCCAGTGTCTCTTGAAGTTTCTTTTGCTTGCCGATTTTCTATAAGCAATCTTTACTTATTATGGGGAGCAGGGATTCAAACAACCTTCACTTTTGAGGCCCTATCTCTAGACCACCTAGCAGTGACGTACCGAGGGGGGGGGGGCGGGGGGGGGGGAAGGGCGCGCCCTCCCGAGAATGGGTCGCGAAATTTTTGAAAGTTACTTATAAGAGTTATAAAAATGTGCAAATGACTTCCGCAAAAATTCTGAGAAGCACCCCCAAAAATTTTTTCGGAGCGCGTGGCTAACGCCACGTACCTTCATTCGAAAAAAAATTTTTGTCCCCCCCCCCCCCCGAGCGGAAATCCTGGGTACGCCATTGCCACCTAGGTATGCTTCGTGTAGTATTCTTCCGTATAATAAATCGTTGCCGGGGTTGAATCTATTCCAAGGTTTGTTAAGATTCGAATCGACGATGACTTTGCTCTGGTGTATGTGTTGATATGGATTGATCAAAGATTAAAGCAATTGATCCTCGAGAGTTTAAACTAGGATTCTTTTTCTGCAAACACTTGTAACTTGCTGCTAACTAACTTCACTCGTTCCACTCGTTAGGCAAAAGCTATGGTAAGAACCTTTTTTAGTAGTGGCAGAAATGGCAATATTTACAATATGGTCCAAAACGAGCTACAGCGTCAAAAAATAAGGCTAGGCAAATGGCGAAAATAAATCACAAAAAATCAATAAATCAAATCACATAGCAAATTTTGTAATAACAAAGGAAACAACAAATAGAGACATTTGGCAATATTAGACCAGTATTTGCAGGGGCAGACGAGCACCTGCGCCCGAGGCGAGGAGGCAAGACGAGCGAGGCGTGTCCGAACTGAGAGGATGCGGCGCTTCAGCAGCAAGCGAGGATCGGCGAAACGATCGCAGGGCAGACTTGAGTAGAAGGAGTTTGCCCAGCAAGAACTCTTGCTCCCGGCAGAGTCTGCAGGCTGGGCTGAAGCTGGAGCCTGCTCATGTTATTATACAGCTACGTGCGGTAGGAGCAACTACTGTAACTTCCATTTGCTCAGATCCACTTGCGATATTTGACTGCACGGCGTTAATTGAGAGCCGGGCAAGAGGAAAGCATCCTGTATGGAAAATTAGTAGAGATGGATATGCCAAGTTATCAGCAAAACAAGAAAATTATATTAATTTACCTGAGAAATTAGATCAAAGTGGTCCCCGTTATCACATATTACCCGTGAAAGTGAGGATTTGCGAATTTCCGTCAACTGAGCTGGTGTAAACACTCCTGGGTTCTCATAGTAGAACCTAAACAATAGACTGAAATCGTTGCCTTGCTTCTGCCTAGTAGCTTACCTATCACCGTCGCGAAGTCGTTTGAATTGCTCTCCAATGACACAGCTGAGAGTGGTGCCGACGAGTCCACCGACGACGGGGTCTTCTAGCATAGAACCCACATAGAAGTCCACATCATCTGAAGAACGTTGTAATGAGCGCAAGTCATTGAAGCGCAAAAGAACGAACCAGTAGTGTTGTAGTGCTTTCCCAGCCCAGTTCGTAGATTTTTGTCCAAGATCATATCAGAGAAGTCTTCAAAACTAGCGGCTCTTGGAAGACCGCAGAATGTTCGCATAGTATTGTATGAAGGAATCGCGTGATCTCTACCTCGTTGAATGTTCAGTGATCCAAGGTCAGTACTAGAGGGAGCTCGCTTGAATAAGCCACATCGAAATGCTACCGTCTTACCTTCCAAACATTTTTTCAGTGATGGCTGGCGTCATACGATGTGGTCGCTTGACGGGCGTGCTCATGAATCCACGAAGAATGGGATCGATACCTCCTGAATAGGAAATGTCTAGGGTGGAAAAAGCTGCTAAGTGAGTGGCACTATTGTGCGTTACTCTTCGTGAAAAAAGTGGCTTCGAGGGCTTTTGGTTGAAAAAGTCTTTTATTTTTAAAATGCGGAAGGTTGAGGGTCTTCATAAGTATCATAGCTTTGTAGACAAAACGAGTGAGAGAATCGCAGGTTAGAATCGAGTTCCTGTGTCTTTAGTAATGAGGTTATTCATCTATCAGCTTTATTGTAGTACGGTTAGTCGCAGCAAACATGGTCACTTGGAGCATACGCATTAGACAAAATCAAAATTCAGTCATCAATATATGTTCCGCTATTGCCGCAGTCTTTCGCCCCCTTGCCATACGATATTCGATACCTTATTTCCAAAACTCAGCGGATATGAGCCAAAAAAATCTAAGCGACGTTTGAGATTGTCTTCAGAGTCAAAACAACCACTATTCATAATGCAGAGTGGAAGATGATAATGAATGAGGCGAGTTCTGACAATGAGGAGTACATTGAGTACTAATGTGGTAAGTTGGTGCTAAAAGTAACGTCCGTAGCCTTTGCTACCAAGGCATGTGAATGTAAAAAAAATGCGTATAGGACATCTTTCGATAGAATGGAACAAGCTCTACAAGATAGCTACCGAAGATCTAGTCCTAAATCTTTAATCCACATAGAGTCCGAAAGTGAAATCTGTGAGCATTTGGCTACGCCAAAATTGGATATTTGTCCAGGGAATCTCTATGAGCTTCCTATTTGGTTATCACATAAGTTATACTGTAACATTCATATATGCACTTGCTGTAATTTTCTCGCACTTGAAATCTCAGAAAAGTCATAGACAAAAAACGGCAAACTCCGCCTCTAGCAATGCAGATTTTTTCATGGAAGCATGACTGTGAAATTATAACCTAATATGTGCACTTGTTTGCGAGAATCAACCTGCATCATGAGCTTGTAAGCTACGGACATTATCTTTGCACCAACCTAATAGTCCCCAGTCGGTCTAGGAGGAAATGAGGACGTTTGTACGGGGTCATGTTTGCTTTTTTTAACACATTGACGACCGCTTGACACATATGGTGTGTCAAGGCTTGACACGCCATGACTCTCATTGAAGTGGCTACTAAAATGTGTCAAACCAACTCCGGGAGTTTTCTTTCATGTTGGATTTAGATAAACCTCTACTGTTATTGCCAGCATTTCAGCGCTACTGTAGGTGTACTGTAGATGGAAATGTGCGTGATGTTATTTGAAAAATGTTGCCTGGTCCGAGAAAGGCTTCGGTCGTCAATGTGTTAAACGCTAAGAAGTCGAAGTAGACCAGCTTTTCGAAGAAAAATGATGAGGTTCCTTTGAAGAGCATAATCAGCTCTTTTCATTGATGTACCCTTTGAATCAACTGGACTGGCTGGTGGAAGGCAATGCTTTGTGACCTAATTAAGGCTAGAGATTAGAGAGCGCATTCGAGAGAGAGACGCAGACTGCGTCGCGGACGCGAGGATCGCTTTCCAGCCGCCAATCTCTTTGAATCAAAAAGTACGCATCTTGCCGCAAAACCAGCGCTCCTATAATCTAAGAAGTCGAAACACGTTGTAGGTCCTGTACAATATACCTATCAGAATTCGTCATGGACGTAAAAGGTAAAAAACTTCCAAGTACAAATGCTGTCGACCTTTGAAAGATTGCATTGCCTATGATTGTTATTGTCATCCATGTTATGCGCAAAGTGAATTACACATTGCGGAGAAATGTAAGTATCAAGCTGAAAAAAATCAAATCGCCTCGCAGGCCTAATGAGTGCTTCTCGCATTATGTACGCAAGTTCAGCACTATCAACCTTCAGATCACAGCTGCAGTGCTATTGTGCCACATGATTTTAAATGTGACTCATGGGCGATTCTTCTTCAGAAGCAGCTACTTTTTGGTTGTTCACCAACAGGTAGATACCAGATCATGAATTCTCATACAATTGCCATTTAAGCAGGAACGAAATGCATTTAGAAAGCGCAAAACGAGAAGATCTTGCAATAACGTCGCAGAAAACTTGAATCGGAACGCATTAAAGAGTGATTGTAAATGCTCAACCGGTAAATTCCAGTTCGGATTACCTCTTATGTTCCACTGTCTTTTTTTTTTGGGGGGGGGGGGGAATTTCTCATTGTCTTGTTGTATACCAGTTCATGCAATAAGCAAGTACAATAGTGGAGAATAGATGGGTCACGATTTGAACATTACTTACATAAATAAGTGCAAATGGTTGTTTTTACGTAAATAATTGAGCAAAATTTTCGAATTTTTTGCATCAAAGTTATGTGAAGAAATTCTTTTGGAGAGCAACTGCCGCTACGTCACTTAGCTTCGAAATTTCGGGATAATAAGCCAGCGAAAATTTTAGAAAGCATCCAAAAAAGGTTCGGAATGCGTGGCTCACACGCTCGAGGATTTTTTTCGCCTCCTTCCCGTTACCATGGATTACATAGGAGATCTTCGTATCAAAAAATCGTTTGTTCAAATTCGTCGTTTTTGCAATATTTCTCTTTGCCATCCTTTTTTCTTTTACAGAAAGGATAGGCCACATATTTCTAAGTGGTAAACATCCAAGCTGTGCGTCCAGATAAGCAGTTACAGAAGAGCCCATGGATCCTTTTTTAGCAAAATTAAACTAGCTTTTACAAAATTACTAAGAAGGCTACACCCTACAACTATAGATAAGTGGAATGTATGCTGTTTTTTGCGCATCTTTTAAGCCAGGCGTAGCTTTCAAAGGTATGTATAGGCTGTAAGTAATTGAGCAAATATGTAACTCTGTTTTTCGAGCTGCCTCTCAGAATAAATACTGAACTGCATTAAAGTCCAGCATTACTTCGCAGAAAAAGTTGCAGGAAATAGAAATATTTCTGCAACTGATATGCTAGGGCGCCAAATAAATTGTGGGTGCCCCTCAGATCGCCACCATGTCAGGTGTTCTTTTTCCTCTCAGTCTATAGACTGTTTTGAGCGGGCTTGCTGCTGTAATGAAAGCTAACAAAGAAATGTCGTTCTATGTACATGATGGGAATGTGAAGGTCAGCTGTTTGTGTTCCCGGTGCTAATTTGATCACATCTAGCCAACGAGCCACTCCCGTTTGGTGAGAAACGAAGCTCAAAAAATTCTCACCTTCAAAGAGAATCTTGCTTGACTTGAATACACCGTCACCGAAGAAGAAGCCACCATGAGTGATGTTTTCGCCAGAGAAATCTACTCGCTTGTAGAATTCCTAAATTAAATTTTGCATTCAAAGGCAGATGAGATGCCATCAAAATGCTCACAAATCTCCTAGGTGATCCAAAACTCGCGTTACGTAAGGAAGGTTGACCCTTTCACTGATACTTACTTTGAATATTTCAAAAACACGATATTATCTTACCTTGATACCTCTGGCTTCGCTAAGGCACATTATAGCGCTATCTTTCAAAACAAAAATTGAGCTGTGTTTATGACCTTGTAAACACTTCTATCTTTCGAATTGGACAGAAAAATTTGTCTATTTGAGCTACGTAGGACTGAAACCTCATCGCAGCGTCCAGAACTGCTCATGTGCTGGAACCTTGACAGCACAGTGCCGGAACCCACGTGGATGCTATTGATCCGGCCTTCCGGCACGGCGCTGGCACGGGTGACTCAGGAGGCAACCTAACGATTGAAAGTGAAAAAGTGATGGTGAATTGCAGTCTTTCTTTATAATTTCCTCCCGCGCACTAAAGTCAGGTCTCCTGACAATTCACACGTCTTCTCAAACTGAAAAGATGCTGCGTTTAATACATCGCCATTATATCTTTACTGGCATTAAAATTCGGATTATCGTCGACTTCATTTTTGACTCGTTTGATATGATAGATCATGGGCACCCAAGATGACAAGATAAAGAGGAAATAAAACATTTCATGAGAATAGGTGGCACCTTTACCGAAACGTCTCTAGATAAATTTGTCATTTGCTTATTAGATAATTTAGACAAACTTCGCACTGAAATTGTCGAAATTTCCATCCTTTTTATGGTGAAATTGAAATCCGCAACAGTCCATCTATGGGTTAGCCTAGGCCACTATGACTAAAGAAAATACGTAGATGCATCAGGATCTGCTTGTTTTGCTTCTGTTGTGCGGGTACCATCGAGGTAAAGAAGAAACTCTACACAGTGTATCACGAAATGTGCCAAGTCTTTAATCGTTAATAACCTTTTTTCACCAAAAAACCTTACGCGTACCTTATGTATCATTTCGTAGGGCTGTTTAGGTTTATGGTACAGAGCCAATCACTATTGCCTTACATTAATGTACGACTACCACAGATAATTGAAGCAGATTAATACCCTGATGAAGTAACATTTCTGAAAAAAGACATGAAAACGTTTTGATAACATTTTTGGACAACCTTTTCATAAAACTTCGCACCCTTTCCGAGGCCGATTGAATGGCGCGATTGGGTTTTTCGAGTGACGTTGGACATAGTTTTTGATCGAAAAATCTTTGTCAGGCTCATACCTCAGTCTTATCAGGGATCAGTTTTACTTGAAAATATATTCAACTTTTCCAGGGTGCCATTTGCGACATTTTACTCTTTAATTCCATAACCTCCTTAAAGTTTTTAGAATCTAGCAGTAATGAAGGGAGTTGGCGATTTGCTTTGCTTTCGTAATCCCGCAGAGATTATGGGAATGAAAGGAATCAGTAGTTTGCTTTGCTAAATCGAAGAAGAACTATCTCATATCTCTCAAAGGTCTTGGGTTCTGGAGGAATAAGCCATCAAACACTCTTTATAAAAATGATGATAAGCACATTTTTTTGCATAAATTGAAGTGGACGTAATTTTTTCTTTAGAGTATTATAGGGCTTTGATTTTGATAAAAAGGGAAGATTTTCTCAAAATCATCGAAGCTTAGTACGTCCAATAGGTTTGAGTTTCTTTCGCTACTAAATTGTTGATGAAGGTGTTCCCCTAATCTTCTAAAGAATTAGCATGATAGCAGCACATCGCATCTCCATAAAATCTGGGTTCGAGAGAATTATTAGCAAGTATTCGTAATCGAGATTTATGTTATGCTCACGTTCATTTCTTTGAGTTAGAAGAAGAAAAGGAACACATGCAATCTGTGTAACAGCGACAGGCCCAAGCCTTGTAAGACAGTCATACACAGCCATCTCTTTATAGATGTGACGTTTGAAACGGTGATACGTTGTGGTCGTTTAATAACGCATGCAAATTTTTGGAGAGCTAACGAAATAAAACGCACAGAAACCTACAGTAGTCTTCGTTTTAACAACCAACTTGTGGATGCACCAATTTCTCAAATTTCGGGGTGCCAGGTAAAAACTAAGAGACCCTCCTTTCTACTTTGCACAGTTGTGCATTACTTTGTTGTTTCATACTCTGTAAATCAAATTGGCGACTTCACTGCCGCCTGCTCAACTGCAGATTGTGCAAATATACAAAAAGATTGTTAACGAGGACGAGCGCATTTTGCTCATTTTTAGCAGCAAATTGTGGCAGAAAGCGTGCAAATTTTATACTTCTTGTTTATTATTAGACTGTCCCATGTTTGTCCGATTTCGACATTGAAATGAATAGACTTGAAGCGAGAGCATTTATACAACATGGTCGCACTTTCCAATGCATAGATCATAATAATCACGTGTGTGTAAAGAATCCAGGACCACTAGAGGCGGAGTTTGCCTATCCCAAGCATTTTTTCTTCATTTCTAAGAAAAGTACGAGAATTGTATGATAAAATGTCTGATGTACCAAGTATTTGTTTGGTTGAGTTGGGTATCGATGGGTTTTTGGGGATACGTTGATCTAAGCCAAAATCCGTTTTGAGTAGATTTGGCTATGAACCTTACGTGGAATGCAATTTAAGCGGATGCTTGATGACTATCCTGTAGACCTTTCTTTGCTCTGTCGTATGGTTTTCCAAACTACACTCAATAGAAGAAAGAAACGGAAAGACTACGATTCTTTGTGAAATCATTAAAACATCAAGACACCTTAGAATTCCATTTCTCCATTTCGCACCCACCTCCTGACATACATGTGAACCCTTTTGTTTATTAGAACGATGCTTTTACAAGAACCCACCTCGATCATGCCGTGCCCGCAGCGAAATGCGGACGTCGTGAATTCGTTCGCGATCGTGGCATCCACATTTCGGTCGTAACCGTTGTAATCGCCGATAACCTTTGCGTGGGCGACACCGAGCAGTTTCGGCAGGTATTCCTAAAAAGGGCGCTAGGTTCGCTGCACTGAATCTCGCAAAATTGCCCTACTTTGTAGAGAATATGCTGGATGATGCCTCCGACTATCTTTCGTGCCTCCTGGAATATCCTGTCTCCGCTCCACCCTTTGTTCATGTCCTGCAGGCGATGGGCAATCCTAAAGCAGACAAAGCTTGGGTGGGGACACGGTTGCAAAACTTTACGCCATTTTAGCTTTTTGTGAACCATGAACACCTTCTTACTGGTGTTTTAAATGCAACGCTAAGCCTCATTGGAGCTTTTCCTGTTCTGTAGCAAGTTTTGATCACAAGGTCCAGTTCGGTTTGAACTTCTTGCTGCGTAATGTCTTAGGCGTTGTGGTCACACTAAGTAAATTGTTTACTCATTATTCTCGGAGAGAGAAAAAATATAACCCTAAAATCAATAAATTGTACGTTTCCTTCAATATACGACATTTAGTAGCCATCTCCAATTTTTGATCATGGCGAACAATATCAAAATTGATCGGGGTTTCAATCAAGCTGAAGTGCAGCGTCACAGATAAAATCTGAATCGTCAGGTTGAATTGCATTTCATGCTAGAATACTGAAATGTCTGCGGAGTGCAATTTTCCCCTTCCTTTTGTATTATCTGCAACCTAAGAACCTTACAACAATAAGAGGTGCGCAACTATTACTTGAAATAAAGTACTAATTAAAGTCCACTTCATTTTGTACGACGAACATAGTTAATTATTGCAAAAAATAGTGCACTAGTTTTGAATAAATTACCAGATTTTATATGGTCAGGTAGAACTTGGGTGTGTCCTGATTTGAGGAATACGAACTTATAACGACCCATATGCAGCAACGGACTGCAAGAGACGCAAAAAGAAAAATTGAACAGATACACTCCCTGATGAATGGTTTCAATATGTACTGCATTCTCAAGATTATGTAATTCGAAAAGCATCAACCTCAAATATGCAAGGATAAAAGGAAACCGGACACTTCGGTTTTTAAGTGCATTCATAGTGTCACGGAAATGAAAAATCAAAATTCAGCACTTTTGAGCAATCTGACCAAATCTATGAATGAGCTAGGACAATTTGATTAACTTCTGAAAGAAAGACTCTTCTGGACTCACTTTGAGGAGAAACATATTTGTCTTGATTAATATCCTCACCCTCAGAGAAGTGGCTAATGTATTGAGCCGCCATTTTTGATAATATCAGCATGAAAAAACAATAAACTTATGTCCAAATCATCCGCGACTGACTTCTGGAACGATGTTTGCATTTTAAAATTACCCTCAGTCGAATGTGAAGACAACTTTAAGTGCATATTCATGTAATGAGGCACACGCAGATATATTGTAATGCGATTATGATTTCCTAATATAACTACTACTATGAAATTCCATTTTCAGTAAAATCTCTGCAAATGAACCCTCATTTAGACAATTATTGATCGGTTAAAAAAGCAAAAAGACAGCTCTCACCCAGTACGTTTGATTCTACTGCGCTTGTACTAATTTTCAATTTCTCGTTATTATCAAGGAATCTTAGAAGCGTTTCGTAGACCACCTCGAAAAAATAATCATACCTCAAATTTTGATCTTTGAATATAGCCTAAGTGAAAAATGAAGACAAGCCATAAACCCTGGTTCTTGAAGGTTACCAGATTAGTAACTACAATTATAGGTTTTTAGGTTTGAAAGAGTTATGAAGAAGGGATACTGTGGAAGTGTTATGCAAAGTTTAAACCCTCGAGCATCATTTCAAGGACATGTGGTACACTTCTTTCTAAAATATTTGGCCCCTTATTTTTTTCGAATTCGTGAAGTCATTAATGCTGCAGAAAAGCGATGAATTTTCGTAATTATGCCAATAAATGACTGTTGACAGCGTTCATCGATGGTGGTGATTATACTGGGTCACGATTATAATTATCCAAATTTACTAAACCAATTCGAAGTTTGGCCTCTTTACGCCACAGCTCTGAAAGTCAAAACCATTAGTACTTACTTTTGACCTGGATTTCGTTCCCCTAGAATCTCGGTCTAGACAAAGCCGAAAAATTCGAGTTTTCTATCCGTCAAAGGGTCATACTAATATGTACGTGACACACAGCGCTAAGTTCCGATGTATTTGGAGATTGTTAGAGTGACCTTGCCACAAAAACGCATATTTGGACTTCGCATTGTTCGCATTCCGTTGCGCTAGCTTGAGAACGAAATTTGAGAAATCTCAAGTGGGCGATAAGGTAGAGATGAAGTGCTTGTGATGCTGACCTGTTATGTTCCCTGGCGAATAGAATGTGCAGACTGCTGAGTCCAATGAAAAGATTGGCTCGAATGTCTCCAGCAGTAAATGAGGCTGTGCACTTATCCTTGCCTGGGCATTTTGACTGATCGAAGGGCAATACTATCTACAACAGGCGTATAAGAGTTGCCGGTATAAGCTTTCTCCACTGGAACATGCCTGATTATTGAAGCGATTCATCTTAAGGAATCCAGTCCTCGCTTCCCTGAATTTGTGCAGGTCTTTCGGTGAAGAACCATAGATCATCGAACCATCTATGTAGGCCGTGTTCTCGTTCAGCTGTTCACGAGGTGTCACATGGCAGATCGGCGCCGATCGAGACACTTTCAAGCACTGCTTCATTTTGAATCTGCAATTGAATAAAACTTAAATAAATAAAGATAAAAATCGTAGGCAGTGTGAGCTCTGAACTCTTAATAAACGAGTTAAAAGCTGTCAGAATTCAGAAAATTTGACCGTATTTTGAAATCGGGTGACATTTATGTAAAAATCATTAAGATTCAAGCAAAGTGTTGTCAGTCTTGAAGAGCGCAGCAAAAAAGGTTGCTAATGGTAGGAGAAGCTTTGTAAAGAAGGTAGCATCTCTGATAGACATCATCTACAGGGCGTCCCAAGTGTACGTACACACTTTTTTATTGTTATTTACTCCTTTCTTATAAAGTCTTTTGCTTAACTTTCAGCATCATTCTATAAAGCAGGTTCTAACTTAGACTTCTTATGGACCGACTCACCCACAGCTCTTTATTACTGTAAATATACGGTAAGAACTTCGAAGAGGGTTTTTGGCTAGAAGTGTCATATTTTGCCTCAGAAAGAAAACAAAGCGACTTAAAAACTGTGACTTGGCTAAGCAGAGTTGCTGACTCTAGATATGGAATTTGAATCTCATCATAACGCTCCCATCAAAAAATTATGTCAGGTAAGCAGTGGAAGCCGTAATTTCGATGTTCTTGAAAAATGTGGTTACCCCGTTTAGAAAGTTTCACAATCTTGTAAAAAGTTTTGTCAGCGTCCTTGCAGGCCGTATCACACACTTTTTGGATTTTTATGAAATATGAAGCGGTAGCTTTTTCACAGTAATGCCATATGCCGGAAGTTCTTACCGTAATCCTACAACGGTCCCGAAAGACTTCATCACAAGAGAGTCAATAACAATCAAACAATGGGCACATTTTTGAGGACACCCTGTATTTCTCACTTACTCTTTGTTAATCCTCTTTTTAGATTATCCATATGACAATAGACGAATTCACTCACACATTGGCATGTCGTGTTGTTCCCCAGCGATGTAACGAAAACTCCGGAAAATGATGGGCAAAAGCACTGCATACCCCTCACATATCTTATATTGATTCAACAGATTTCTTAGCACGATGACTGAAGTGTACTATTTGACATTCCATTCTTTTCAGACACCACTTTGCGCGTGTGCGAGCTAATCATTAGATGGTCATTGCTTTGAACGCTAGGTAGTTTGATGAATGTTGTCATTATCCGGTAGACGGTACCAGTCACAGGGAGAAAAATGTTTGGGAGCTGGAGTGGTTGGGTGAAAGCTACCCAGCTTTTGAGAAAAAGATTCATTATAATTTCGCTGCAAAACTGCTTCAAACATTAAACCTCGACTTGCTTGTCAAAATATTAACTGGACCAAGATTTTCTAAAAGCTAGATTTCTGGATTTTCAAACTATATATTTTATTCAAATTTTTTCCACTGGGTTCTTTATCTACACAACCCAGTTTGTAATTATTGTTTTAAAACATAATTTGATCAAAAAATGCAAGGCTGTTTTACTCTCTAGTACTATATTTAACTAGTAATTAGGTTTAATTTTCATTTATTTTTTTTCTATGAGCTCCGAGATGTGTTAGAAAACTCAGTATCATCGCGACCCAGTATCTTACGCGCAACGTGAATAATGTGTGCATTTGCACACTAATTTAGCGAGAAAAGCAGGTATAAGCCGTTTTCAATCCAGTCATTTAGCTTACAAATATCGTGAAACCTCCATCATATGATTTTTTGTCGTAGAAAATTGAAAAGAATACAACTAGATGTAAACTAAAGAAGCCTCACTTCTAAAAGAAAAAACAAAATGAATATACAATTGCAAACAGGGCTCGGCACGAGGTGGCCAGATGAAAATGCAAAAAACGAAGTCCTCCTTGACTTCTGGGAATTTTTACGAAATTCCCTTTGACGCTAGCCCATAATCCCTAAAAAAATCTCCAAAAACGAAACGTCGACTAAAAAAACGTCGTCAATTTTGCGTGCGTCTTCGCCCACAAAAACAAAACCTCCTTTGCTTTTTGTCCCAAAAACGATATCCAGCTTGCTTGTAAGCCACCTGTGCCGAGCCCTGATTGCAAAAATCATCATCTTTTTCGCGAATTCTTTTATTATTTCAGTCAATGGTGTATTCTTGCCTTAGAAGAAAAAACACCTTGCTCGACTGTAAAACTCGCCCTCTCGGTGATGGATGTCAGCCTCGCGTGACAGCAAATAAGTTTTACGAACAACTTACGCTGAATTCGGGTCCTTCAAGGTGATTGGAATTGGCATGCACTTCGATTTCACTGGAGCACATGAAGTGCACTGGGCTGACGGTTGCAAAGTCGTCTTGGCCATGTCGTGCGACATAAATTGACCCCACTGCATCATCATGTTGTTGTACTGGAAGAAGTTTGATTCTGGATAATTTCAATGGTTAGTTCACATCTCTTCTCAGAGGCATGCGGAACTATATGAGCTTCCGCTGTAAAAGTCATTTTCTTCCCGTGTCGCCCTTCCCCCTCAAGGTCTTCACGGCATTTTCTCACGCACCTTATCATGGGCTACCATTTGTGCCGAAGACAGCATGACACGGTTCGATTCGCGAGCAGTTGGCCGAGATGGTATCAGTGAGGCTGCAATTTGCACCCGTTAGGTGGAGAGTTTCACAAGTGATACGGTCGTCCGCTTTTCAAAATAGCTTTGTGTAAATACACCATTTTTGCAGACTGCAGTAGAGTGGCCGTGGCGGCGAATAGTCACTATCATGATTGAGAAAACTATATAAAACCATCAAAAAGTAACGCGAAGTCGTGCGCGAGATAGAAAAAAAGTTGCATACTTTTCGAATCATCAAATGTCAGTGCCAACGGAAAGTAGCGCAATCACCAAGCAATCGTGAAATTGAGCTGTACTTTTCTTGAGAGAACTTATCCAAATTTTGGTGCAGTATGACACTTGGTTTTCGAGTGTTGAAATAATTGTTCTCCTTGAAGCAATTTTACTATGCCAAAAAGAAGCTTGTGTATTGTTATTGAGTGGTATCATTTCAAGAGTAGCTTTGCTGCGGAAAAAATGAACTAATTCCTAACTCAACCCCTCCCCCTTTTTCGAATTTGATCTACGTAATCAAAGGAGGTCCTTACAGGGTAGTGACACCAAGGAGGAATGAAAAGAAATGATTCTTCATTAGTAGAGTATGGTATAATGAATATAATTATGAGAAAAGGGTTGCTTCAATTGAATTTTCTTCAAAAACCACTCCTCGAATACTTTCTCCTGATTCCTTTAATTTTAGTTCAAATTTTATATCCCGTTCCTTTCAACTGTTCGTATTTTGTACACATAGCAGATTAAGTAACAAATAAATGAGTGAATTAAGTCAACCTACAGATGGGCTCTCCTATGCCATCGTCGTAGATTGGTGGGAAATGCCTAAAATGCGAAAATTATTTTGAAAGTTTGAAAAATATCTATGGACCTGATATATCGGCGGAAGGCAGCTCCTTGCAAGGGTTTGTCGAAATTGTTGCAAGTACCGTCCAGTGTGCGAAACATCAAGTTGTAGCAGAGATTTCGATTGCAGTCTAAGCCATTTGCTTGTAGCTGAAATCATAAAGTGAAACACAGAACTTGATGCCTGAACAATTTTCTTAGAAAACGAATAGTAGGCTAAATTTCGATATGATTAAAAATAGATATGAAGAAGAAAACCATATGCACACATATGTACATTCATAGAGACTCTGCCAATGTTGCCGCCGATTATTTTCTTAATTTTTAGTGTTTTCTCTCCACTGGTAAGCTTGCTTTACCACAAAAGGTCATCAAGATAAGGGTCTGCAGATCCCTTACCGGAGTGTATAGCGGCCTAAATTTAGGATTATTTTTACAATTTTTTCTCCGTGTATCGAGGTAAAATACAAAAAAATCAACTTACACCCTCCCCTCCCCCTTCCTCCTCCTTTCTTCTCCCCTAATTATTCTGCTCTATATTCTCACTAGCTGAGAAGAATCGAACGATTAAGTGAGTTCCTTTACATTAACTAGCAAATAGATTACACATATTTAATTCACTATACGATTAGACGTAGACTAAATCCTGATAAGTTAAGAGCAATTATATCATTAGATCTGCTCTGGATTCTTGGTACCCCCATCGATTATATGAACATTGTCACTATGATAGGAATTAACACATGTTAAATCTAAAACACAGGTCAAAAGAGGCAAACTGATCTGATTTAAACGCTGAGGCATGCCCACTAAAAGGTACAGAAATAGGGAATTTGAAGCTACCTCAAAGCAGTGAATTATGAAAGAGCAATTTATTTATTCTGCGCAAACTCGCAATTCGTTCTGCAAAAGAGCATATGTTTGATTACCGAAATTTATTCTTTCACATCTCACATTTTACCCAAAAGTTAAGTGTATTACCCTTGTACAAAAAGCAAATCTACAAACATTGACCACCAAGGAAAACAATCACATCAGACGCGCCAAAAACATCTAATTCGTTCTTTCATGTTTTCCATTCGGAATAAAAAGAAATTGAACAAAAAACATAGTCTGATTAGTACTAAGATAATCACATTAGTCAGACGTGCGGCTGTTATTTTCGCATAAAATGTATTTCAAAATCAAAAGGATGATTTGATCATAAACGTAACGAAAAAAGTGGTAATGTCTGACATTCCTGGAAACCAGTTTTTTTCCCATAACTAATTACAGTTTCTTTTTTCGGAAAGATCAGAGGTTTTAACCAGTTCTAAAACCTTCCATGTCAAGCAATTGTCTCTGTGTACCTTCCCATTAGATTAATCTCCCCTTTGATCGAGTTTCTTTTGCATTTAAATGTGGTACAAACAAGTTTCTAATTGTAAGTTATTGAAACTTGTTTGCTAGAAAAACAAATCAAATTTATGAAGACGGATCTGTAGAATTAAAATAGAGCCGCTACATGCAGCGATGAATTTTCATGTACATATAATATTGGATGTGATTAATGTGTCCCAGCACGAAATGTATGGCACCGAAATACGTGACAGCAGATAAATCAAGATGTGTAGCTGTGCACATGTGGAAGTTCCAATAATTTATGAAATATGTTGTCTGGTATCGTGCAATTACGGCATCGGCAGCGGTGCGGTGGGTTGCGCCCGTGGAGCACACTTGCAAAAATCATTTATTATTATAATGTGGACTTAATACCATGGGAATTTGACAGCTGCACTGATTCTGTTTCCATTGGTGATGGGGTTAGAGCACAGATGTGAGGAGCTGGTCTCAAAAAATTGCTAAAATTTTACGATACTACGATGCTACATCCCTTTGCCAGGAAACTTTTTATTTCTGAATTGAGCTGCAAGGAAATCGGCATTCCATTCATTGCCCAGTGACTCAGCCCAATTTTCGCAACTTTCAAGAGTGTATCAGCCTTGAAAACTGGCACTGCAAGAATTTTTGCTAGTCGAAATTGAAGAGAAGACCTATTGGTGCAAAAAGTAGTCCCCACAATAGATATGGGAACAGAACCCGGTACAGATTGTTTTGAAAGCAGGCTGGATTTCGTTTTTGGGGCTAATAAGGAAGGGATATCGTTTTTTGGGTCCGAAAGTGCGAAAAAACAAAAGTCAGGTTGTTGTTTTAGTCGACGTTTCAAATAAGGGTCAAAGGGGACTTGGTAAAACTTTGCGAAAGTCGGAGGGAGGGGGGAATTCGTTTGTAAAAAGCCTAGAAATGGACTCATGCCGGGCCCTGTATGGAAATTAAGCATGTTGAGTTGCCTCCTTATTGTTAGTTGCCGAAAGATTTAAATACCCATGTCAGATATTTTCCATGGTACTTTATTTCACTCCGTGTCCCACTGATGCGAGGGTTCTAAACTATAAACCCCAGATATTGTTTTTCTTTCTCATGCAAAGAGGTCTGAGATTTTATCAATCTTGTAGAGTCTCCGTATGTATTGATGGACAAAACATTGATAGATGAGATCTATTTAAAGGAAAGAAAGCAACCTGTGGAACACATCCGAAAGGCACGCTCCGTGTAATCTCATCCAAGGACAGCATGTTTCGGCCGAAGTTCTCTTCGACACTGTTGATCAGATTTGATTCGTACATCAACTGGAACAGTTAAAATTATAGAGACAGTCTAACAAACAACGAAGTAAATCGCACTAATATTTTATTTTCAATGATTTAAACATGCCATGAGACATCTTGAATTTTTTCTAATTTCCAAACAACCATGAAACTCTATAGTATTCTATCCAACGACCAATAACGGCAATACTTCTATTGTGTTGTCAAATGGTCTGTTATGCTCTGTATCACTCTATGAAGAGAAATGCCTGATTACTGAATCAAAGGTCTTGCCCGAAAGCCTTCAAAAAATTTGTAGTTTTTTGTTCCAGGGAGTTTGTTTGAAGGTTACTTATACTCTAGAAGTGCTTGAAATGATTTTCATTGGTAGCAAAGCACTGCGATACAAGCAGACAAAAAATCCTCTATTCGAATTTTTTATGGATCAAAAAAGTCCAAAAAATCTAGTTTCTTGATTTCTTGACCTTCAAGTTCTAGCTAGCAAATGTTTGCTAGCTAAAAGTGGATATTTTCAGAAAAAGTTGGAATTTACAGATATAATTTGGCTTTTTATCTTCAAAATGGATATGTACTTCTGCACTTTCTATTTATTATACATAACAAAAATACATATATTACATCGAAATTTCTTTGAAGTTTTCCAAGTGAATTCTTGTATACATTGGTGCAAAACTTTAGAACGGATATGATATGGTTGTAGCAAAAACTATTTTGTTTTCAAAAAAAGTTTCCTTAGACGAAAACGACATCTAATTAAGGATAATTTCGGCTGCACTGTGGCAATGTTCGGAATTGTACCTTTATCATATCTGGACTAAAATGCTTTGTCCTTGTTTTAGATTTGCGATATTTATTTATGAAATAAATAGTGTGAAAGAAAAGCATTTGATGCTGGACCTTCCATATCACAAAAAAAATTCAAAACATCAAAGTGAATGACCCACCTCTGCGGCATGTTCCATGTTGCTTCTGACTGCTTCACAATTGCTTACGCTCTTCACGTCAAACTTCTGCAGTGGAGCTGTTAGTAGCTCTTCGGAGGCGGTAGTGGAACTACTAGGAGAAGTAGTTTTCATAGTCGGCGCTGTAACACGTGTGTTTGCTAAAATAAATCAAAATAGTTGGAATTTGGTAGAACAGGCATTCAGCAAAACTTTGGCTATCAAAAGAGCATATCCACTTTGTTCTATTTGCAAGTATTCTCGGACAACTTGGAAGACGAGATTCCAACTGCTTGCAATTTGTGCAACTGCTAGTCAATTATATTAGATTTTCATCACAAATTTCTATTTTCTTAGAAATGGCCACATTCTGCAAAGAATCTTTCCTCATAGAAATGCTGCGGTAGGCGAAAAAAAACCAGAAAACCCATATCAATACCCGCCCAGTGGCATGAGGTGACAAAAAGTGAAGAAATGCAATTATAGAACTGAAGAATACATAAAATAAAAATTTGAAAAGAGGATTGCATCGGTGATCAATACTCATATTCTTCAAACGTTTTGTTGGACACATGCTTCAAAAATTTGACCAGTACTTCATTTTAATGAATGGAATGACAAAATTAGTTATCTCCAAAGCGCAGGATGCAGATTTCTTCATGCGCAAAAAGTAATAGTGATTCACTGATTGAAAGGATGCCATTTATACTATGTAGGAGCTGCTCAGAAAATGTCTACCAGATGCATTGGCGTGTTCTAAAAACGTTTGGACAGATTTTGAAAATTGATCATTTGGAAAAGCTCTTTAAACCTGTTTCTCTCGATACTCAGGGTTTCGACTAGCACAAAAACAACTTTGCCAATAAAGTGCGCTTCAGTTAGGGTATAGCTGACGCTTATAGAAGAGGTCATGATTTTTTAAAAACCTTTTCAAGAGGTTGTCCAATATGCGATAGCACAACTTTTAGAAATGTTTTAATCTCCCAACTTTGTAACATGTAAGAAATCTTGAAAAGAGAAGGCAGGGTTTTTTCATGACTTGAATCGTTATGGATCTTTCTACAAGATATCAGTGGAAAGAAAGTTTCATCTTTGAGAACGCAGCCATGAGACCATCTTTGAAATGATTGAAAAATTGCTGATTGAAATATGTTCAAAAACTACAGATCAGCTCATCATCTAGTGCATAAGCGGAGCCAGTAAATAAGATAATAAAGAAAGTTTGTATCTGATTCTATGAAAAGGTGACAAAAACTGATCGAGAATAAGAGAAAGTATATCAAAAATAATTGGAAGGTAAATGAAAAAAATGTACAGGTGGTTGCAAAAGGCATATGGCAAGTGATGTCAAGCTCTTCTTTCCTATTACTTCTGAAAAGTTTGCTTCTCTGTATTTGGCGTAACCTTTTCTTCACTATAAAACGGTTTTCTCTGGTTCCTAGCGATCTGTGGTCAACCTCGAGTGAACGAACAATGTGCGCTGACTTCCGAAACAATCATCGCATGCTCCAGTGCGGATGGAGGCGCTCTGACGTTCCGTTTGCCAATAAAATATGGATCGCTTTAAAGCGTTCTGGGTTCTTTCTCTTTGGTCTGTCTGACGGCCTTGGTGACTGTCACCTTGCCATCGAATCTCGAGTTTCAGTTCTGCTACCAATGACCGACTTAGCAAAATCAGCGGAATCGTAAAGTTGACATTGAAACTTCTCGTAGATTTTTATCAGTCGGTAGAGTAAGTCGCCGGAGTGGGAGAGCAATTAAATCAAAAACTCGAGCATTCTCTCTACAGGGCTGTGTTCGAAGCATCTGCCTCGAAATGTGGCAATTTCGGCACGAGGTGGCTTTCGGAAAATGCAAAACGGCCCCCCTTGACTTCGCGAATTTTTACGACCCTTTTGACCCCAATCTCTAAACGTAAAAAGCCTCCTCAAAAAACATATCTAAAAAGCAACTTCGCAATTTTTGTATTTTTTTGGCCTCAAAGCGATACCCCCTCAACTTTTGATTCCAAAAACAATATCCAGCTTGCTTGCAAGCCATCTGTGCCGAGCCCTGACCTCAATCCCAAAATTTCCCCAAAAAAACTTTTCTTTGTAAAAATAATCACAGTACTTGCCATGGCAGACATTTATAATACATAGACGCTTTACCTAGCTCTAATCACCCTCCTTCCTCTCATTTTGCAAATTACACATGGAGCAATTCCGTTACATGCCTAAACATTGTACCCCAGATACTTCTTCCGTGAGGGAAACTGATGCCCCATGAAAAACGTGCACAAATTTGACAAACACTTTCTCCGAAATTTTCTTATTAGATTGACTACTATACCGCAATAAAATCGATCCGTTTGGTAGATCACATATTTTCTTTTTCATTCCATATCCATTTATCGATACTAAACTCAAACTGCTAAGCAAAAAGCCACTCTCCTTGATTCTGCAAAACTTACTAATGCTACTGTACATAGTACAGTTTTATATAATTTCTCACTTTAACAGTTTCCAAGCATGAGCACAAAATAGCAAAGTTCAACATACAAACTCGCTTGGAACAAATATCTGGAGTAAAAGATTTGGGTTTTACATTTTCAGACAGCTTCAGTTTACAATCCATTATCACAGCATCGTTTCCAAAGCACTTTTTCGGACATACAACTTATTTAAAGCGCTTCGATGTTCAAACCCTAGTGTTTTAATAAAAGCGTATAAGATATACGTTCGTCCCATTCTTGAATTTGGCACCACGGTTATTTCGCCTTACAAGATTCAAGACGTGAAAGCGATCGAAGGTGTGCAAAGTAATTTCACACGGAAATTGTTTCTAAGAATTCTTGGCCCCAACTACTCCCTCATTCCGGGGAGTGAAGAACGTAGACGGTTGTTATATCTACCTAGTTCAGCTTCTAGAAGAAAGAAGTTTGACATCTCGATGGCACTTAAGATGTTAAACGGTAGATGCAGACTTGAATTCTCAAATCTTTGTCATGTCATCTTCCAGAACTAGAGGGGCTTCCTTCAAATTAAGAGCTCCCACAGCCAAGTCCGTTTTGCGATCAAAATTCTTCACCCTCAGAGTGTTGTCGGATTTCAACAAATTGCTCGGTCAAGATGCTCTTAATAAAACCCTAGCTAAATGTTGTTCCCTTGCCGACCGTACTCCTTTCTGATCTCATTAGTGTATTGTGTTAGCTTCTTGTTATTGTTGCTTTGTTGGGAGTCCTTAAAATTTTGTCCTTATTGTGTTTTCTGTTTTTCTTACTACTATATCAGTTGTTTTTTTTGTTATTTTTCATTATCTTCAATCACGAATCGTTTCATTATGGTCTCTCATCACTCAGGTTTTAGTTGCATATCATACTCACGTGTTTGTTTTACACGTCTCAATAAATAAATAAGTAATTTCTCACTTTAACAGTTTCCAAACATGAGCTCAAAATATCAAAGTTCAACCTACAAACTCACGGTTGTTTTCTAAAAAGGATCTGGCAGTATGATAACAAAGAAGGCCAAGAAGAGTTTCTCAAAATTTCACTTTTCATAATAAAAAGTTTTCGAATGATAACCGAGGTTCTCGAGACGTCCCAAAATAATACCTTAGCAGAACAATATTCATGTTTTTTGGAAGCGCAGAATTTTGGTGAAGCATTTGGCAGTCAGCCATCTAGGGCAGGTTTGAGGCTTTGCAGCAAGCCTTATTTGTCTTAGAATTCCAAGAAACGAGTTCGTTTTGAATTGTGAGGACGGTCGAAAAGTTATGAAAGCGGTTTAAATAGACGTCAAATTTCCAGTTTGGCGATGAAAACTCAGGAACGTGGCAAGTGATAGCTTCAAATGTCTTTACTGTTATTTTTTGCTGAAAATTAAAAATCGCCGCTTTTCCCGCCGAAACGAACGTCATTGAAGTCTCCAATTCAAGCGCCCCTACGGCATAGCCTTGAGAGTGCCAGTGATTGTCCGCTTGTGTCGCCGTTGTTTTGTTATTGTTATTTCGAAAGTGCTGCTATCGCGGTTCGCTGATCGCGAGTCGTGGCCGCTGGACCGGTTGAACGGCTGGAGGAACGCTCTCTCGAACAAAGCGAGGCAATGAGTGAAAGCATACGAACTAGGTGACACATCGTCTAACTGCTGGCTGTAATTCGTTCGCCGCTCGTGCCAAACTTAGCGCGACCTCGCGACCTTGATGGATGCAGAATCAAGCGCGAGTGAAACCGAGTTCGCCGTTATTTCCCCGCATCCAGCCCTCTCACTTCGTTCTTTCCCAGGAAGGAAAAGCTGAGAGAGTGGGGTAGAAGTTTGTGTTTGTGGGTTGCTGGGGGAGAAGGGCAAAGAGACCGGTCAGTTTTCGCATATCAACCGCCACCACTGCTTTCGTTTTACGACCTTTCCAAGCAATCGTTCACGGCCTATTAAACACCTCGTCGTCAGCTAGCGAGGAAGCGCCTGAAGGATTTTGATTCCGATCTTGCATTGGCAATTTTTTCCTAGCAGATGCGCAGCAAATGATTGGGTACCCAAGTTGGCACGGTTTTGAAGCCCGACTCAAACAGAGATAAATACATGCTTTACCAAATGTTAGAGATTTCTTTGCTGTATCCGGCATTCTCCTTGTGATTATAGGCTGAGAACTAGTATCCGATAATAGCGCCTCGGTACTCCTCTGGGGAAGCAAATGTATGGGGTTTGTATTTGTATTTTTGTAACCTATTGGTTTATGACTTTTTTGGAGAGAGACGTATTAGCATTCTCTCCGTCCATTTTTCCTCTACTTTCCTAGCAGAAAACCTCAACATTGTTCTCTAGTTCCTTCATTTTTTCTGCTTTCCCTAAGAGTGTGAGGGTTAGCCACTTGTCCAGTTCTTTTGTTCGCTTCTCGTGCGCAGTCTATGTTGCCCTCGTAGCCCAAACCATTTCGGTAAGGTTAATGATGTGCAAAACTAGCGACCGTCGGGGAATGGTTATTGCCCGGAGAGCTGAGGGGAAACAGGTCTTTGAAGAGAGTGAGCTGGGTGTTGGTGTGGTTTCACCTCAGCCTGTATTATTCTAGCCTAAGCGAGCAGAGATTGAAAGGGGGCGCTCGTCGCTCTTGCACTTCGCCCCTACTCGGTGCACTACCGGTGTCGATTCGAGAGAATGCTAGTCTTACTGCGCTAAATGGATGCAGTCAGTTAGCAATTGGCCTTGAGTCCACGAAAGTGCGCATGGGTTGAACTCGCCCGGCACAGCAATGTAGTGCATCCCCTTTGGAAGGGGGGGGGGGGGAGGTGGAAGGAGGTGAAAGCGAATGGACGACGTCTGGTGCCCCCAAAGCCCTTAGGTGTTCCGTGACGGCAGCCCAGTTTCTTTCTTTGAGTGGTCTGTTTCGCTTCGTCAGACAAAACTCCAAACAGATGCCTCAAAAAAGGTTAGACCACCCCCCTCTCTCCCACCTCCCCCCTAATCCACTAATATCAGTTCAGTGTTTTGAGAATTACTACACATTGTGGAAAACACTTACAAATGGAGCACTACAGTTGCAGTGAGACTAGCTAAGAAAAAAGCGTAGCCGAACCTCAATCAGAGAAATCGGGAAAAGCAAATCAGTCACACAACGAAGAGAAAGAAAGTGAATTATGGCGAATTTAATGGACATCTCTTTTTATATTTTTGATGATCAAAACGTTTGCACTGTCACTTTGGCAATAAAGTAAATTCATAATCAAAACTGGTTTCTAGTGTCAAAAACTGTGGGAGTAAGCAAGGGGGCCTAATTAGGCTTTTACCCTCAAATAACAACCTGAGTAATTCCTGGAGCTAAGAATTCAGCAAATTTTCTGGCTTCTGAGCCGTGACCCATTCTAACGACATTTACTCATAGAGAGGGAATGCGGAGAATTTTGTAGCTTTCGAAAAAGCTCAATGCTTACGTGCTGTAACCATTGGAAGTGTACAGGTTCCACATGCCAGTTGACAGTTTGCAGCCATCCATTCCTCGTTTGCCTAAATGGGGAAAATTTTACATGAGCTGGTCAGCCAGCACCAGTTATGACTACTAATGTTACGAAGATCTTTGTAGTTGTTTGATTTTTCGCAATTATTCCATTTTGCCAAGAAAAATAGGGCTTTTTGTTTGACTAATAGTAAAATAAAGGAAAGATAAAGCGAAGAAAAATGGAAAGTATACATCGCCAGGCCTTTCTAACACTTTGCCTCATAGTGCATGTGGCTTGAACGCCAAATATAAATAGGAAACATTCTACATATTCCTTGCGAGATTTTCAAATTCTGAACTCTGGAAAAGAAATTATTTACTTGATGGCTGGAATCAAGCATTTGCCATCAACCTATCCCTTCTTTTTCAGATAACTGCAGCTGCTGCAAAATGATCTTATCATCTTTTCAACAAGTCGTTTTTTAAATTCCATCAAATGTCTTGATAGCTCTCCATGAAAGTATAAACCTGTTTATATGAATGATCAGATTGCATCTGATTATTTAGAATAAGAAAGATTGAAACGGAAGAGCTAAACAGTTATCTGCAAATTTAAAGTTTAAACTGAAGTTAATAGGGTCAAAAAAGTCCTAAACAGTCATATTCTTAACAGCATGACTGGTAATTAATAAAAAAATGCTGAAATGACAGATTGGGTTCCCTGAGCAAATATGCGGCGATTTAGCCCGACCATGTTGTTGTCAGTCGTCTGGAGAAAATTGCTACCGAAGAAAAAAGAAGTAATTCTAGCTTGTCCCTGTGGATCGAAATGGGAATCTTTTGAAAGATCGTGAGCGACAAAAGCGACTAGACTTTACAAGGTCGTGTAAAAATAATTCTTCCGGCTAAATTTGAGCTTCTCGCCGCTTTAAAAATCTACTTATTTACTCAATGTATTCTTCAAGGCGGAAGATGGTTGCAGCATCTTCCGTCTCATATTCTATATTCAAGCAATACTACTAAAGTTGACTTCAGTAGACTGCTGCCCATCTACTTTCCAAATGTAGTAGGTTTTTTTATCCTGGTCCTCTCATTCTGCTCGCCATTCTCCGTATTGTGGTAATTTACCTGTGCGCACTTATTGTGAACTTTTCAAATAGAAAAAGAGGAAAATTGCAAAATTCAAGCGCAGCTCTACAGAACAAAAAACATATGACTGACAAGGAGAGGGTAGTTAAAGGATACTTATAATCATTAATACAAAATTTTACTACTTGAATTGATAAATATGAATTGGTTGGTTTCAATACTAGGATACTTTGTTGAATTTTTTTCATCAGACTTGGTGATTTTAACTATTCAGAATAAGCAATATTTTGGGAAAAACATTCATAACTTCTTTCAGAAGATCGCTATATAGCGAGGACAGTTTGAATCAGCATTTCGAGATGCATCTTATAGTATAAGTCGCATTTCAATTGGCCACGATCACCAAGTATCCTTTCCTTGTAAAGAGTAAGAGAGATTTCCAAATCAAAGCGCAACACACCTGGCACTCCCCAATGGATGCCCAAAATCGGCACCACTCATGCTCGTCACAACATCCATTTGTCAAACATTTGAACTTCGTTGTGATCGGAGGCGAAAGCGTTTGCGAGAACACCCCTGAAACAAGCGGAAAACATGATAACAGACTGTGTAACAGCATAAATATACAGTTAAATGATTATTCTTTGTCTTCGGTGCGCCCCATTCATATGTTATGCGCTGATTACACATTGCCATTGTGTATACATGTGTTTAGGTATCGTTGCATCAAAACTCGATCGAGAACTTCGCCGTCTCGTCAGCACTGGCGCACAATTTCGAGAAGGTTGTCTCGACAAAGGCTTAGCTCTTTAATCGAGTAAAAAACAACAGATTTCTCGATTTCTTGAACAATATCTCGCTCTGAATGCATGCTTTCACAAAGGATGCGAAAAAGCTGCTATTTCATGTGCACAATTTTGTTCTTGCCTTTTTTTTCAAGCTAATCGACAACTCCAGCAAGTTCAACGCTCATAGCGAAAGCGCTTTCTCGAGACATTCAGCTGTGAGCGCTTCACGGCTTTTTTCCACCAAGTTCACCCCACTTCAGCACAAAATAAGCAACACTTATACTCGGAGTAGACGGAGAAATTGAGGAGAATCACAAGGTGATGAAGGCTGCGCTTGAAACTTCTACAAAAATTTCTTAATAGAGGGGTGATCAAAGACGTAAAGATTAAGAGATCAATTACGTGAAAGTTTGAAATAAGGCAACGAGAATTGTGGCATTTTCATGGTCACACTCTTTTTTGCAGTTATTCAACATTTTGTCAAACTTAATGATAAACTTGATGTACAGAATCGGAAAGGACAGCAAAAAATAATTGAGCATTTAATTCCCTAAGAACCGGCTTTTGAATAATTAAATGTAAATGCATCAAAAACAAAAAAATTTGTGCCAAGTAAGGTCTGAGCAAATTAAAAAAATTACCTACAAATTCACTAAAGTCGCGTGATTTTGCTCAACAGTCGGGGTTAATAATTGAAATTTCAGAAATTCAACATATCTGTTAAATTATTTTAAGCAAGGGTATGAAACTTCTTCCAGTAGCTGATCATACTCGAGTGTCCTTTTGAGCTAATTAATCGACCTTTCGACATGCGTTAGGAAAATTGAAGAATTGAAAAATTTTGAGAAAGCTTTATTTTTTCAGTTGTAAACTTTTCGATAAAGGCACTCGCTATTGCTATTTTCGCAAAAAAATCCAATCTTTGATAGTTACGAAAAAGCATTTTAACTCATTATTTATTGTCCCGCATTTTCAGGTCGTCGAGATGGCGTTTTGAGATACAAAGATTTTTGAAATGCATCCTATTGTCTTGTCCTTGAACGCTGTTGTCTAGCAGTAGAGGTAGCGTTCTAAATTTTTTCATAAGTGGTGTTGTCCTGAAGTTTTGATAAAGTCTTTTCTGCTATGGGAATATGCAAAAAGACCCTTGTAGCAAAACTTCGGCAAAATGAATTCCCTACGAACTAAAAGTTGCGCCAGCTGCATCTCAGTCAATTCTTGTGGATCTGTCATGGTTCGACGACGTCAATTCTGCCGGATTAGTGCGAAAGCCAAGCGTAACTTCGCGGGGCAACAGGTAGCGTGCTGCTTCAGCCATTTCGCCTACAAGGTCCCGAAAAAAAGACAAATGTAAGCTTCGTAACCTGCCAGCACAACTGGCATTCGCACCATAGCAGATGAACGAAAAAAGCGAATGCTTTCACTAGTACATTATGGCGAGAATGTCTTCATAGGATGTGTATATTGCACGGTTATTGTTCGAAAACTCGATCCCAGATCCGGTGTGGCCCTTTTGCCATTCGCTATGCTCACTCTTGGCCTACTCTGCCAAGAGTGTTCGTTTTTTCGGCAATTGTTAGTTGCTTGGAGGAACCTGCTTATCAACGACCTTAGCCTTATGACACATACGGCGAGAAGCGCAATGTTTCTCGTGCCGATCTCCAATCTAAGCAAGACATTGACGAAGAAGAAAAAAATAGATGGGGTCAGTTCAGCGAACTCTGCTTTAGCGCTATTTGAAACTCTCGACTGAAAAAGGGCTATCATATGACGTAGAATGAGAAAAGTTTAAGAGGTCTAAATTGCAGACTAAGTCAATTAGTTTTTTCTGGTTAGGAATGACCACGCCCATAGGTTTGTTCTTCAACCGACTCTCTGTTACGTAATAGGATAGATCTAGTTCACGGTCAACTTTGGTCTAGCACGTACATGGATAATTTGCAAGAAGCAGCTTGGATCAAAACACAGTCGAATTTATAATTTTGTGCGGTTGCTGAGCCTTTTGAAACCAGAAAAGAATAAGTTTGAAACCCTACTTTAGCGCTATTTGAAACTCTCGACCGAAAAAAAAACAAAAAACCAAAAAGAATAAAATTGCAGGCTCAAGCTCAGACTGAGGGCTGACTGAGTTTGCAAAATTCTTTTCTGTTTTTGAAACTAGGGATGGTGGCAAATTTTTTGCAATCGCCATCGAAATCAGATTTGAACTCTTTGGTCGAGAAGATTGCAAACGAACTGTTCTTTGTCTAAAACTCGTTGGGGAAAACATTTGAGCTAAGCCCTAGAAATAGCAAAAATTTACGAATGAGCGACAAAGCAGAGCTTGATGTTTTGCTCCATAGAAGATTTCCAAGATGGCGAAATGCCAAAAGCGTTTCCTTAGGTGGGATTTTGATCACTTATAAAATCCAAAAAAGACAATCGTTGTTTCAGCGAAGCGATCGCTCAAATTGCATTTATGGCCTTTTTTCGAAGAGATACACATTAGCTGAGACAGCCTTCCACTCTATTGATTGAAAGTGCGAAGATTTTACAAGAAAGAAAGGAGAATCGTCTAATCCAAAGAACGTTAAGTGTATAGAATAGCGGCTATATTATAATTAGAACTTCAAGGATATTACAAAAACTCTCAAGAGCAAAAAGTAGTTTTGGTCAAAGCGCTGAGTAAAGTTGACTCTTCAAGTAGATGGAGGCATCAAACTTTCATGTAGTAGGGTATTCTTTATGGATGCCTACTTGGGCAAAGAAGCAATTGCTCAAACTTTGCGAAAATGTTCCATAAATCATGTCTAACATCAACTATGTATCTATGATTCTCATAAAAAGTTACATGCCGGAATGTTACTGTAGAGCTTAACAAATAAAAAACGTTGCAAAATGCTGATGAAGTGAAGATTCATCTGGAAATCTCGAATTTGTCAAGGAGGAAGTAAAGAAATTTTTTGATTTATTCCAGCTCCTGTACTCGGACAAGACTGCGAGAATGGAAGAATAGAAGGAGGTAAAAACTCGAGCTTTTCAATCTCAATCCAAGCTTCTTCATAAAGTACTTTCTTCTTTCGATAAAAAAGTGACTTTTCAACCCCCAATTACTTCGTTTTCTTAATTTTTCTAGCTTTCAAGTATAAGACTTCTGAACAATTTCCTTGTCAATTTGGCTAACAGCTCTTTCTTGAACTTTTCATTTTATGGTCTTGAATTTTCACTTAGTTGAATGTACACGTAATTGATGTGACAACAAGTCACGGTAGTAAAAGAGCATTAGAATTTTACTGAAAATGTGGTCAGAGTTGGCTTTGTATTTGTGACGTGTCGCAGAATGCAGGAGGTTCCTGCGAGAAAAGTGTTATGTGCAAGCAACTGTCTGAGACTGATTCCATAAGAAGACATTCTTGCTAGGCGCTTTATTTGCGCTCAAGTGTTTTGCAAGATTATTTGCAAGCTATAGATGGATCATATGCAAATATTATGTGTATCGGTGAGGGACAGGCGAGGACGGGATGAGGGCACCAAAACTGGCTGGATGATGCTCCTGAACAATGCAAACACGTATTATACGCATAGCAGAGAAACCTGCGCATGGCTACAGGTTGTGAAAGCCGAGGAGAAGCCGTAAGGGGCTGAAGAGGACTGGAGAGCTCTACAAAGGAGAGGAAGGATGTCGCGTTTATGCGTTGCAAAAGGGGCTGGAAGCTAACTAGAGAGAGGATGAGTGGACAAAGGGCGAAAGTTAAGGCTACTCAAACTTCGAAAGGTTACCTGGTAGTAGTAGGAGTAAGATAGTGCGCATAGCAATAGCAGTAACACTAGCGAATCAAGCTCGACGTGGGAACTAGCGAAGGGTGTGAGAACGCCGGGGGCGGGCCGCGAAGCGCACGCCCCCCGCCACCGACGACAACGGCACCGACTTCAGGCACACGACGTTACCGTCCTTGCTAAGGCGCCTTACGCACGATGCAAACCGACAGCGCCTTACGGCCCGAACAACAACGGCACGCGCAATCTCACAACGGCACATAACATTTAGGTTTCGCTCGAGAAGAAGCTGACTAAGCACGGCAGTCCCTATGCCGGCCATAAAGAATCGAGCGAGGGCAGCATGAAAGCGAAAGCCATAAAATATTGGGTGGTGGTGTAGGGCGGCGGTGAAAGGGGTAGAGTACAGAATGCGCTCCCAAAAGTTAGCGGAATGATAGAAGTGTGCTACGTAAAAGATGAACCAAGTATAGACCGACAAGTAGCTAAGACATAAGTACTCCTATACAATTCAGTAAAAACATATCGTTGCTGAACTTTCGCTGAAGGTCCGAATGTCCCCTCGTTCGCCGTCTTCTTCTTAACCAACATAGCTAGTAGGACCTTACCGGTGGCAGCCCAGGATTTCGCTTCCGGGGGAGGGGCAAATTTTTTTTTCTAACAAAGGGCGTGGCGTTATCGCGCACTTCGAAAAGTTTCTTAGGTGCTTCACAAAATTCATAAGCAGTCTATAATCCCGAAGTCCAAAGAAGTGGGCGTGGCGGTAGTCACGCCTCCAAAAAAAGTCTTCTCACAAGACCAATTTGAATTTTTGGAAAATTTTGAATTTGACTTTTTATTATTTGCAAGTATGATCAAGTCACTTGCCCAGTTTTGAAACTCAAAAAGCTTTCAAAAATTTCGCGACTTCTCGGAAGCGACGTGCCCTCTCCCCTCCCTCCCGTCAGCTCTTCCCCTACACTAACGCCACTGGACCTTGCATCCTAAAATAACAGATTCCGAGTGTGTAACCGTGTTATTAGGGGCACTCTAGGAGTCACGCCCAAGAGAATTTTCTTTCGAATTACTAATGGTGACTTACGGGTTTTCCAAAGGTCCCGATTCCATACCATGACTCACTTTTCCATTATTTCCTTGAGTAAGTGTGACTGTTTCGTCATCAAGAATGTTAGAGCTCCTCAGGTAGTTGTGGTTTTAATGATACACCTCAATAGAATTCATGTACAAATTTGCTACGATTTCTGTCTGTGTACGTGTTTTGTGAAAAGATTACTGGAGCAATCAAGCGCAAAAAAAAAACGATACTGGTATACTCGAGACCGCACCGAGAACACTTCTTGCTGTGCCAGCCTAGCTAGAAAGATTTGAATAATACAAGACTCTTTTTTACTCAAAGGAGTGAGGTTGCATGACTTTATGGTAGACGCCTTGATTGCTAAGATGCAAAAAAAAACATATATCTAGTTTATAAACATTAGAGTCACTGTTCGGCGTGCTATTCAAACCTATAACCATTTAGATTATGATTCTATACAAATAGCTTTGTTTTTTTTATTTTTAATTGACAAACAAGCTTTTACTCATTTTCACTTCATTTCATTTTCATTGAATACGCTCGAGACGTTCCATAGAAAAAACAAACAAATAATGAAAGTTGTTAGTTTGCACTGTGTTTACACTCTTTTATTCAAAGATTTACTATTTCTCCTGCCTCCCTCAACCCCACCATTGCTCAATTAAATCTTTCCACAATATGCTAGTATGTCAGTCACTTATGATTTTCGATTGTTTCACACTAGTTCTTAGTTATTCAACCTATTCCTTTCCACCACTCGTGAATTTGAATCCGAGACCTAAAAAACTTGGTGGAAATGCAATGTCGATAGTCTCATCTATTCGGGGAGGGGGGGGGGGGAGAAAAATTTTTTCTGATGACGATGCATGGCCTTAGCCATGCACTTTGAAAAAATATTTCGTATGATTCCCAAAAATTTTCGCGGACCCACTTTGAATTATCAGAAAAAAGGGCTGCGACGTCAGCCACGCCCCTCTGAATTTTTTTTCATAAAGCAAATTGAATTTCAAAAAACTTCAAAAACTTTTCCTATTATTTACAACTACGAACAAGTCACCCGCGCATTTTTATGACTCATATAAGTAACTCCTCGGTACGCCACCGGTCTCTCATCATATCGTATGAGTCTGGAAAGACATCGATGAACGTTAGAATTTCGCCCATGAAAAGAAAAAATACATGAAAGCATGCAGAATTTTTCAAAACACTGTCTTCATCAAAAAACGAAAAAAGTAGTAAGTTTTCTGCTCAAGCTGGATTTCTGTCTTTTTTTCTTGATGATCTTTTATTGATTCTTTTATTCTTGTGAACTAGTTACTGGTTGCTGCTATGGGCAGCTAGCTATTCGCTTAGTATTATCACTTTCTCTTCTTCTTTCTTTTGTTTCTTTTAGTACTAGAGAGGAAACTGGGAAATTACTTTCTCTTCTGTTTTTCAATGGCAGATTTGAAGTGTTTAGAGTTAGACAAGGAAAAAAAGTAGTACTTTTTTCAGTCAGTTGCAGCACACTTCCTACTCGCCTTGTTCCGCGAGAGGGACGAGCTTGGGTTGGCATGCATTTTTTTTCATTTTCAAATTAAACATTGAACTTTCTACTTCTTCAATTCCACTAGTCACTTTCCTTCTAAGAAAAAGTTTTACTGCGAGAGCTGTTCGTCACAAGGGCATCGAGATCCAAGCTGTTGCTTGTTATCTACATGTGAAAGTGAGTTATGATGTGGTTGTTCATCTCGTTGGGACCAGTCCAGAACAACGACACGACAGCGTAACTTTAAGACGTTTTCACTCTATGCCACTCCTGATTGCTTAATGACCGATTGTTTTCGAGAGTTTAACGACTACACAACAACGGCTTGATGGAGGGGAAAGATTAGCATCTTCGATGTACATACAAGGCAATAAAAGCGAATCGTTTATGAATAGGTAAGATTTTTGAAAATTCGGAAATTATCTGCTGCAGTTTTTTAGAATGATGCATCTTGACAGCGATTTGGAGAAAGAACTCGAAAGCGGAAGTTTTCCATTTCTGAAGCATGATACAAAGGCAACACCCACAGTCTTGGATTTGACTGAATTCTTGAAGTTTGATGGGGATGACCGCTCCCTTCTTTACGAATACGATGAAAGCTATGCACATTTGATCAATTGCCGATGATTGTAAAGCACAATAGTTTCAAAAATTTTTTATTATTCTTTCTATTAGACTGACTTTTGATTTCTAGCCTCCTTTTCCGACTCTTCAGTGAAGAAAGAGAGCCTAGAATCTTTTGGGATAGGTTGTTTGAAGGAAGATTGCAAAAGTTATCCCGGCTTTTGAAAATATCTTATCTTGAGCTTAAATTATGAAACATGAGAGGTGGAGAGCATTCAAGAAGGACCTACTTTCTTCCTCAGGTTCATCCATTTCAATGTGTAAAAAGATTCAACAAAATCGGAACTTCTTAACTTGTTACCGTTGGCTGATTTACACGGAATTCACGGTTATGAAACTCACGAAATTCTCCTATTATGATAAACAATTTGCAACATTGTTCAAAGATATTTCTATATTATGTGAAAGCTTACTCTGATGAAGCACTGGCAGCAATCTTTAGAGGTCAAGGTACCAGATTAGAGCTACGGTTTCTCCCAGTCGGGATCAGGTCGAACCGCTGGCGTAAATTTTGCGCTGCGCACGGTCGGAGAGAACAGACGAGCAGGCCGTAATGACGATGCGTGATGCCAAAGTATAGGGCTCCCGCCATGCCAATTTTGGCCTGATTGGGTTCGGAACTAACTGTAAACATTACCACCTTTTTTTAGAGGGGCTGGCCCCCTATTCTGCTCAATTCATCGTGCCGACATCACAGTAAATACTTATGTATTACGAGATAATAGACGAAGAGGGTATGTGATTGGGAAGCCTCCTGAAATTATCAAGTCTAAAATTATCGAGTTTGACTGAATCCTAATATCTCAAATTTTCCATTTGCTTGTTTTTCTCTAGCAGGGAAAACCTTTCAGAATGCAATTTCCATGGAAGGGACACATAGATCTCCAGCAAATTCGAAAGTGTGACTTCCACTATTCTACCCGTAAATGTCCTAGATAGTAAGCTCTTTTGCTAGGGGTTATTCAATAAATTATCCAATGCTGGTTGGCTTCACTTCTTCACATCCTGGCACGAACACCCCCCCCCCCCCCCACCCCGATAGTTCGTACGAAGTTGACTTTTCCAGAACAGTTGTTTTCCTTTTAAATAAATGCGCGGACAATGTTATGAGGTTACAGCTCTTACAGCTCACCACACCCAGGTTACAGCCCCTCTGAGAGCTGTAACCTGGGTGTGGTGCAAGAGGAGATAGCAATTGCCAGCCGCTGCTGCCAATGCAATATTTTCCTCAAAATGCGCAGATTTACTTATGAACTTGAGTAAAATTGGGGTAAATGCTTTACTCGATGAGTCCTGCTCAGAGCCCATTGATAAGTGCAGTTTGGTATGTTATCGCAAGAAAAACTTGAAATACTTGAAGTTTCACCTTTGAAACCCTTTTTTGGTATTACGATGCGCGAGTTATTGATACCCACAAGCTATCGTTCCTCTTGCTCGCCACCACAGCTCCTAGAGCAGTTGTGAATCACGTCTCAAAAAAAAAACATGATTCATTATAGTTATACTTCAAACGGTCTCAAAATATCACTGATGTTTTTTGGATGAAATTGTTAAAAGAAGATTTGACGGATTTTTTAAAGAAAATTTGATTTTTTTAGTGACAAAAGCACATTCAGATTGCGACGCTTTTCTTACATCTTAAATGTTGGGCTCCTATAGAAGTGCTTTCTTGATGAATTTCACTTCAAATCAGAAATGCTGATGAAAGCAGAGCTCTGGGTATAATTTTGACCATGGTGTCAACAAGAATCAATTTATGTAGATGACAAAATGCAGCATCCGATGCTCCTCTATGCGGAATTTTTCGTGGAGCAATGCTTTGTTTGGAAGATCAAAT